ACACACACACACACACACACACACACACACACACACACACACACACACACACACACACACGTGCAGATAAACAGGCAGACGTAAACAGGAAACAGAGAGCAGCAGTGAATAGGAGGTCTCAGCCTCAGCACCAGGGGTTAAACTGGGGTTTGTTATGTGAACAGGGCTCTCAGGTTTGACTGCAACAACAAATCCACAAAATTGATAAAAAACAATTAATAAAAGTGTTGACAAAGAATTTCATTATGGATTTGTTGCGTTGAGTAATTTATGTCACTTGCCATGTTGCTGAGCTGTTTACTTGACCTTCGGAGCTTTATTAATAAAACTGGAAAAAATGACTAAAAAACAAAACAACAAACAACAACAACCTCAACTGGTAGTTGAACGGAGCGAGGTGGAGGCTGCATTTTTAAGGAAATTAAGCAAATTCTACAAATGACCGACACAGAGGAAACGGTTCAACAGAAATCTTTAAAAGGGTGGGATCTCTTCACGTTTCACAAAAACTAACAATTACTACATAATAAGCTAGGTGAAAGTGATTTGGCTTGGCACAGGAGCAACATGGTTACTTCACCTGAAACAGAAACCTGCTGGAGTCATCGATGAAGATGAGGGGGCTCAATAGTAGTAAGTCACTGTTTATTCTGTTTTGAAGTTTGAGGAAATGTAACGTTAACCTCTCCACCAGCTGTCCTGATGCTAGCGTTAGCTGGTTAGTGCTAAAGTGCATGTGTTACTTTTTATTTCAGTAGCTTAACCTAATTATATTTAAAGTTAATGTTTAAATGTGTTATATAAATTAATTTAACTTGCACACAATAATTTAACGATAAAGCTTAAAATTTTCATTAATGACAATGTCTGAGTGAAGACACTGCAAAGAGCAGGTGGTGTATTTACTTAACCTAATACTGCAAATAAAACAAGGCATTTATTAACCTTCTGTAAATTACGCTAATATACATACTCATTCTATACAGTTGTTCTTGTATCCTTATGATATCACTGACAAGAAGTTTCTGCTGATGGTCGAAGATAAATGTTTCATTACAATAGTTCACACTTTTATTCCAGGTTTCATTCTTTCCTTAAGGACACGTTTTACAAAACTTGTGGAAGGAAAATACGAAGGGACTTTCTTTTGTATGTATTTGTGTACATGTATTTTTTGTTACTGAAGCTATTTGACAAACATTTCTTTAYGYATTACTTTG